AAACATATTTCATCCAGTTTTTCTCAGTCTTACCCCCACCCCAGTGCCAGTCTCATTCTACAACAGTGGCACCATATAGCATTTGTCCCTTTGTGACTGAGATACCTCACTCAGCATAATGTCCTCCAAGGTGTTTTTTATGATTCAAAAACTGCTTGTCTTTACTCCCCCATATGCTGGACTATAGTCATGGGTCCATATGCATAAATACATATGTAGAAGTATCCTCTGTTGGACTTACAAATATTCCTGGACATAGTCCCATTCACTTCCCACTGCTGCTCAGCTCCCACAGCATCTGGCTTTTGCTGTGGGACCTGGGGAGGGGGCGTGTTTGTGTGCTATTGTCTGGGGCTGGGAGGGTTTGGAAAGGCCAGCATCGCCAAACGAGAGTTTGCTTAACCAGAGTCCTGGCTTTTCTCTTCCCCTCAGACCGATGAACCATGCGACCTGAAAGCTATCGAAAAAGAGAAGGCAGTGGTGCCCCTGCCCCCGAAGGAGGCCTGCCAACACCACAGAGAGGACCTGGCCAAAGCATTCTGCGTAAGAGCTAAATTTGCATCTGCCACTGGTTATTATAAGGTGGTTAGATCAGAGAGCAGCACAGAGACCCTGAAACATTTCCTGGAATCACTAGACAGCGCTCCCGACGTGGCCAGTTCTGTGCCCCACGCGGTGTGTCCTCGACCTGGTGGTCAGCGTAGTTCCTCCTAACAGTCTCCTTCCCACATTGTGGCCTTAGTCCTCCATTACAGATGAGGACACACAGAAACCAGACCCACAGCGCCCTGTGTGGAAGCGGCCGGCCTCATGTTTCCCCTGCTGGTGTGTTTGAACCAGTGACCTCACAGTTAGCAGCCGAGTTCCTTAAACACTGGGCTACCAATGGCCATGAAGACACAAAGCCAAAACCAAACCCCCTGCTGAGTTAGTCCCGTCTCCTGGTGACCGTCCCTCCGGGCATTGAGGCTCTCAGTCTTTACCGGAGGAGACTGCCCATCCCTCTCCCATGGAGCTTCTTGTAGATTTGAACTACCAACCTTCCAGTTAATAATACTCTGCTACATCATGCACTGGACCGTCAAGCTGTGGGGATGCACGGAATGACACCGTTTGGTCAGGCTGACATGGATGGTGGTGGTTGTGTGCAGTCAGCTGTGACTCATAGGGACCCTGGGAAGCACACTCTGCACAGTGCCCTGTCCTGTGCCACCCTCACCATCTGTCACGCCTGCCCCCCTGGTTCCAGTCGCAGTGTCAGGCCATCTCGGTACAGGAGGTAGCGCAGCTGACGCCCTGCACCAGTCTTCACTCTGCCACAGTCCAGGGTGCGGCCATGTGCTTCCACCAGATCGCACAAGCTTCAGACCTGGGTTTGAATCCCTGTCTCAGCAGGAATCTGTGCAGCACTGACCTCCTCCCAGCCCCCTGACCCAACCCGAGAGGCAGAAGGACGTAGCTCATTTTCAGTTCTTCACTTAGAAAACCGAGCAGGCCTGGGAGGAGGGCGGGTGTGTACGCTCGATCATAACCCAGCACAACAGGAAAACAAAAACCTCCCCACATAAAAGCTTGGAGGAAGCTGGGAGGCAGTGCTTGCACTGCCTTTTCCAGGAGGATAATTCAGGCCTCTGTCTACAGTCAGGTCCTGCCTGTGTTTGGAGATGGGGAGGAAACCCCGGCAGACTCATTTTATGGTGCTTTGCTTTATGGCTTTGCACACACAGTGTTTTTACAGGCTCGGAGGTTTATGGTCTCACACTCCCTCCCTCCCTCCGAGTCTGCTGGACCCTGTCGCCGCCTCACGCTCCCCTGGTGCCTCTGTGCAGGGTGGGCCTTCTCCCATGTGTCTTCACCACACTGCACGTGTCACGTTCTGTGCCGTAGAGTCAGAACTGACACAGCTGACCCTCCAGCGGGGTTTCAGAGGCTTTACGTGCACAAGAAGAGCGCGTGCCCTGTCTCCCACGGAGCAGCTGGAGGATTGGAACAGCGGCCTTGGCTTGGGCGGTGAGACTCCTTCCCACTAGGCCGCCCGAGCTCCCTCGCCTATTACAGAGACCACTGTGTAGCATAAGTGTGAGGCCTTTTCTGTGCACTGGGAGACCCAGAAAGTCACGTTGCCCATTTTATCATGAGGCTCACTTCATTGCCGTGTCTGGAGCCGAACCCGCAGTCTCGCCGAGGTCTGCCTGTGTTTTCCTCTGCGTAGAAATCATCTCCATGAACAAGTGGCAGAGTCCATAAGGAGCTGGGCTGCTAATCCAAAGGCTGAACCTCTGAAGGTTCAAATCCACTGGTGACTCCGTGGAGGGGGGACAGTCTCCTCCTGTGTTGTTTATCACCTTCGGAAATACCACTGGAGGGGCTGCTTGGAGTCCGTTCCTACTCGATGGCCGTTTTACATTTTGATTTATGAGAGTTTGGACCTGAATGCAGCTCCCCACTCACCTTCTGACTAAGTTAACCCCCCAGGAGGCTCGTTCATTGCTGAATTTTCACGCAAGAGCGCCTCTGTAAGATCAGGGGGTGCTTCCACGTGTATCCTGCAGACCTTGGAGTCTGCTCCTATATGACCAGGCACACGGAGGAGCCTGTCTGCGCAGGGGACGCAGACAGGAGAGCCTTAACCACCAACCATTGAAAACAGAACCCTTTAAAAAGGGAAAAGGTTGAAGCCTTTCTGAAACCCCATGCTGCGATTGCGTCTGTTGAAATCTGGGCCTGTGATGCCCCTTTCTGCTGTGACTTTCAGCTGGTTTGTGTTTTCCGGCTGCTGTCCAGGCCTTTGTGGCGCACGGCGGCCCGTGCGTGTCAGCCGATCTGTGTTCCATAAGGTTTCCCATGATGTCTGTCTTCAGAAGGCCACTCTGGTGGCATTGCCCACAGGGCCCTGCGCCCTAACCCAGAGGCCAGCAGCTCTGGCGGTCTGGGCCCCTCAGCAGCTCCACTGATGAAAGACGGGCAGTCTCCCCACTTGGAGTTTATCGCCATGGAAACCCCGTGCCTGTCTGCTATGAGTCAGAACCAGCTCAATGGCAGTGAACTTCTAAAGTATTTTTCCAGAAGTAGATTATTAGGCCTTTATTGTGAGGTGCCTCTGCTTGAACTTTCAGCCTTGTGTCTGGCAGCCTAGTTCTTAGCTCTTCGGCCCATACAGGGACTCAAATATGCGATAACATAGCTGGGAGTCCTGATTAGGCCTCAGCGCCTTGGTGGACAAGCTTGAACTCCTCATCACTAGAGAGATTGGAAAGGTCTGAGGCCCAGGCTCCCCAGTCCTCACATGCTGTCAGAACCCTCTGTCTTGACCTTCCCTGCAGGTGGACCTGGAGAACGGGCTGTCGGAGTTCGCGGTGGCACAGCGCAGGCAGGTCCATGGCTGGAACGAGTTTGTTGCCGACAACACAGTACCCGTGTGGAAGAAATACCTTGACCAGGTGGGGCCTGGCTGTCATCCTGGGGTCTGAGCAGCAGGGCCAGGACAGGGGAGGGTTAGGAGGCCTCGCTTGTTTAAATATTAATTGAGGATGGCCTTGGGCGGGTGCTGACAGCTGGGGCGGGGATACCGTGAAGATAAAGACGGCTCATGGGGCCTCAGCCAGCAGGAGGACTGTGAGGATAACGCCCCACCAGGTGTTCAGTGTCACCAATGGCTGTGTCAGCTCCGCACTCATCTGATGTTGTTCAGTGCAGTTGATTGGTTTCAGCTCAGCTGCCTAACCCTGAAACACTGCCCGGTCCTGTACCATCAGTGCCCCAGGAAGCCCAGTGTTGCAGAGGTAGTTAATCTCACGGGAGGAGATCGCCATCCTTCTCCTGCCGACCAGCTGACGGCCTCAGATCGTATGCTTTTGGGATTGCAGTGCAGCTACTTGCCACTAGATCACCAGAGTCCCCCACACACACTCTCTCACAGACACACACCCCCAGTAGAGAGGGAGGAAGGGAGCTCTGTTGACCTTGTGATAAGGAGTTGCACTCCCACCCCAACAGCACATGGTTTGAATCCACCAGCTGCTCTGTGAGGGAAGGATGGACAGTCCCCTCCCATCGGATTTACAGGCTCTGAAAACCTGCTGGAGGGTCAGCTGGGAGTTGGTTCTGACTCAGTGGCACCTAACAAACCCGTGTAATTGACCTTCCTGCGGGTTTTCAGAGGCTATAATTGCATGAGAGGAGATTGCCCATCTTTTCCCTGCAGCTTTTGGATTGAACCACCTACCTTTGGGGTGGCAGTGCAACTCCTTAACCACTAGGCTACCAGAGCACCCCATTATATATTTTGATAGAGCTAAATCAATCTATGCCTGCCTGCCTGTTTATCTATGCTATCTATCGGTCTGGCTCTGTGGGGCTTGGAGTGGAGGCAAGTCCCAGGGATCTTTGGAGTCTGAGGAGTCCAGAGTGAGAAGGCAGGGTTCAGACTGTTGGCTTTGGGGCTAACAAGTCCACATTGAACGGATAAGGACAAGTTGCTGGCTTACGTCCATTCACATGAGGTGGCTGGTGACAGGCTGACTGCAAGAACCCTTGCTCTGTGCTTCCTCTCCAGTTTAAGAACCCGCTGATCCTGCTGCTGCTGGGCTCGGCCCTGGTGAGCGTGCTCACCAAGGAGTATGAGGATGCTGTCAGCATCGCCGTGGTGAGTGCGTGAGGCCCACCCAGCGCCCGTGAGGCCCACCCAGCGCCTGTGAGGCCCACCCAGCGCCCGTGAGGCCCACCCAGCGCCCGTGAGGCCCACCCAGCGCCCCGTGAGGCCCACCCAGCGCCCGTGAGGCCCACCCAGCGCCCGGGCTTTGTACCCTGTAGGAGAACAAAAGGCTGCCGTAGGGAAATAAAAATGTGTGTGTAAAACCCACTGCCATCAGGGCAGCCCCGACTCAGAGCAGCCCTCTACCGGCTTTCCAGGGCCACACATCTTTGTGGAGAGACTGTCCTTTTTCCTCCTGGGGAGATTCAAACCACCAGCATTTTGGTTACTAGCCCAATGCTTAACCTGCCAGGCCCCCAGGGCTGTGTGTGTGTGTGTGTGTCAGTGTCAGAATGTGTATACGCTGTGAATGGAAAACTAATTCCTCTGTCCACTTTCACTCATAGCAGACATGTCACAAATTGGGTACCTGCTGTGGGCAGTGGGGCTAGCCCACAGGTAATTCATCAAGGTAGCTTGACATAAAAGAGATTTGGAGGAAGGTAAAGGAATTTGGAGATCTGGAGAGGAGAATAGGATGCACTGTTGCGGCAGAGATCCGTTTTCTTAAGGAAATGTGCCGTAGGACCCGGGTTGGGTTACGCCCCTGCTGAAACCGCAGGGCCACCTGGGAAGGTGAAGCCCCGGGCAGCGGACCTGGGGTGACTTCTGTCCTTTTGCTGCCCTGCTCCCTTGTTGTCCGCACTTCTGCATGGTGCACTTGTTACGCTTGAAGATAGGATGCTCATCCTGGGCCCACCCCTCAGCTCTGCCTGCGGCCAGTGCTGTCCCTGCGGCCCGTGTTGTCCCTGTGGCCAGCGCTATCCCTGTGGCCAGTGCTCTCCCTGCGGCCAGCGCTGTCCTGGCAGCCAACACTGTCCATATGGTCAGCACCGTCCCTGCCGCTAACACTGTCCCTGCAGCCAGTGCTGCCCAGTGGCTAACACCATCTCTGCCGTTAATGTTGTCCCTGAGGCCAGTGCTGTCCCGGCCACTAACCCTGTCCTTTCTCTCTAGGCCGTGCTCATTGTGGTCACCGTGGCCTTCATCCAGGTATGTGTGTCCTTGAGGTTGGGGATGGGATGACCGGGCAGGACAGGCACTGTGTGAAGCCCTGGCGTGTGCGATGTCTTCCTGCCAGGAGTACCGGTCAGAGAAGTCCCTGGAAGAGCTGACCAAGCTGGTTCCCCCAGAGTGTCACTGGTAAGTCAGAGCCCAGAGACCATGGTCTGTACAGGGAACCAGCTTGTCAGAATGCGGCCTTTGGGACTCAGTCCAGGAGAACTCATCTGCACTGGGGTTGGCGCTGGCCGCTGTGTGTCTGTGGGTGTCACACGCAGACGCTCTGGACCCCAGCTCTCCTTAGTGTCTTAATCAGGGATCTCTGCCACAACCCTCCAGGACTGCAGAAAAGGGCCACTGCATAAAGTCCTAAGTTAGCGGAAAGCACCCAGGTTTCCACTGACTCCTCAAAGTGGAGACTCAAAGAGGGGACTCTGTTCTTAAGGAGTAAAAAGCCTTAGGAGCAAAGTTCAGAGGACTTCTTGGCCAAAGCCAGACACCCTGAGGGGCTGAGTTGCTGCTGGATGAGGGGGTGAGGTTGTCGTAAGAAAGCAGAGGAGTCACTCCAGCCGTCAGGGACAGGAGGTTCAGCTCGTAGCACGTCGTCCACAAGGACACTGATCTGCGTCCTGCTTGGAAGAGTAGTGCGTGTTCTCCAGGCTAGTCAGCCTAAGGACTCTTCCCACCTGGAGCCAAGACGAGGGAAGAAAATCAGACACAAGCAGTCAAGGATGATGGACCACACTGCGCAGCCTCCATGACCGAAGCCCGGGACACTAGGTGGCGTCCGGCTACCACTGCTGACCGCTTAGACTGGAGCTACAAGAGATGGTCCTGGACAGAGTGGGAAAAGGTGGAACAAGACTCACAATAGTGAAAAAGACCAGGCTTGCCGGTCTGATAGAGATGCAGGGTGGGGGAGGGAAGGTGCATGGACCCCCTGAGGTTATGAGCCTCAGACACCCTTCATAATAGCTGCAGCTGAGCTCACCTCCACGGCTCAGACAGATCACAGCACCAGCACCACCAGGGAGGCACACACCGTTAGAGAACCGAACCACACACGACCAAAGGACAGCGTCTCCCAAACGTAAAGCTCAGAAGGCAAGGAGGGGCAGGCAAGAAGGACATCCAGAGACACGGAGGAAGCGGGAATAATGTAGTTACCATGCTGTGATGGTGTCGTCGAGGTGAGCATGACTCAGCGACCCTGTCAGCAAGCAGTGAACGCTGGCCAGTCCCACACCTCCTCACGATCTCCGACACGCCCCAGCCCGTTCCTTCAGTGGGTTGTCCAAGGCTGTGAATGTCGTGGGTCATCGGTGACCACCTTGCTCCCTTACAGCTGCTGGTGGATTCAAACAGAGAGGCGACCCAAGGCCCAGTCCCCTGCTGTCAAGTCAGCTCCAACTCGTGACCCTCCATCAGGGGCTGAGGCTCTAGGGGAGAAGCCTGCCCGTCTTTCTTACAGAGACTGGAAGATTGGAACCACCTACCACCCTTTTTGGTTTAGTCGCCAGCATTTGGCCCTATTTTCCATATGGCATATAAAGCCTCCTAAGGAGGAGAATTGATGCCTTTGAGCTGTGGTGCTTGCTGGAGAAGAGTATTGAATGTACCATGGACTGCCAAGAAAACAAACAGATTCATTCTAGAGAGGGTTAAACCAGGCTGCTCCTTGGAGGCAAGGATTCTGGGGCTTCGTCTGACATCTCTAGACATGTTGCCAGGAGGGACAGGTCCTTGGAGAGGGACATCATGGTTGGGAGGGTGGATGGACAGTGCAGGAGGGGAAGACCCTCTAGGAGGTGGATTGATTCAGTGACTGGGGTAATCAGGATGGGTGTGTCAGAGGCAATGCGATTGGCGCAGGATAGAGCAGGGTTTAGGGCTGTTGTACATAGGGTCGCTATGAGTCGCAAATGACTCGACAGCACATAA